TCTGGCTTCCTGCTCGGCTCAATGGGCATTTGACGTTGGGGAGGCCATTTCCTACTCTGGCCTTCAGCTTGCTGTCAGATGACAGTGTTGAACCACACGTTCTCTCGTATCCTGTGATTCTAACCTTTTATGGATTTCGTTAGTTTTGTAGATATGAGTTCAACTTACGACTTTGGGAAACAAAGAAGAATTCAACTGTAAAAAATGCTGGAATTCCACTGATCTATTTTATCTCTGCTCAGGAAGAAGAAAGGGCACCTTCTTCCTGAATATTGTGTTTCTGGCCTCCCTGAATTCTGAGAGATGTTTAAATTACTTTCTATTTTTCTTACTCCTTTCTTATTACAAAATGGTTATTACCAATTATTAACTAAGTGATGTTTAATTTTAGAAGTCAAGCTACTTTTAAGGGCCCATATAAATGTGTGCTAGGATTGGCTTTAGATTTGTTTTCTGCTTCTATTGACAGCAAGCACGGGATGGGGAGTGGTTTTATTTTATTAAGCTTTTTAGCATGATTTCATTTTTAAAACTCGGCGCATATTACTTTAAAAAATTAACTGAATAAAGATGTATGTTTGTAACTTGAACCACACAGAAAAGTAAAATAAAAATAAAATTGTGATCTCATTACTTAAAGAATAACCATTGTTAAAATTTTGATGCAATTCCGTATAGCCTATTCATTCTGTTTCTAATGCTGAGTATTTAGTAACATATACATGCACACAGCACACACACACACACACTCTCTCTCTCTCTGTCTCTTTTCTCCACTCAACATAAGGAGAGCATTTCCTATATTAAAATATTTTTTTAAATGTGTGTTACATGTTATATGTCACACGTTAACCACATAAAGAAAACAGGGGAACATCAAAAATCAAAATGCTTTCACATCCCCTCACACATGTGATCCTTATAATCCTGTGTGAGAAGCAGGGCTGGAAATATTTTCAACTTCCAGCTGAGAATGCACAGCTCGGAGACAGGAAGGAACTTAAAGTTAGTTAAGATCATAGGCTTGGGGTACCACATACCAGCTGTGTGACCCTGGGCACAATAAGATTTGTGGAGTGTGAAGCTTGTATCATTTTAGGGGTTCTCCTGAAGGAAAATAATAAAAAAATTTACTTGTGAAAATTTTAGTGATTTCATGTGATCTTGTAAGGGTCTGTGTTAAATGAGGAGCTCTGTAGCTTCATTTCATCTGCTTAGAGGCCAATCTGTCTCTGTTTTGGGCAAGTGACTTATTTTTATCTGTAAAATGGGGATAAAAAAGTACTTGCCTCTGAGTAGTTAGGAAGATTAAACAAGATATTGTATTGTAAAGCATTTGGTAAACTTCTTGGCACATAATAAGCATTTAATAAGTGTTACCTGTGATTACTAATTTTATTCAAAATTATGTCATTGTGGCTGGTGTCATTTGAGCTACTTCCCAGAGACCGAGCTTAAGAAAAGTATACTTTCAAGGCGCTGTAACTTGGCTCACTCATTTAATAAGCATTTATAGAGTTCCTGCTATATGCTATGCACTGTGCTAGGCTCCAGTCTCAATTCATTCTCACACCACATTCATTGGAAGCACATCTCAGGTATCCTCTCCTCTGGGAAGTCCTTCTAGGATCCTAAGCTGACTCACTACTATCCGGGCACTTACCTCGCTGTGTGACTGGATTTGGACATGACCAAGATTCAAGGAAAAGACACTCCCCTGCCCCTCTGTCCCCTTGTTCATTTCAGTTCAGCATAATCGATACTCTTCTCTGTGCCTATAATAAAAGTATGGAGGTGCTCAAAAATCTTAAATGAGTTGACTGAGAGTGTGTTTGTTTTCACGTGAAGATTTCAGTTTCTTTTGCAAGCTATTTAATTTGCAAAAGTAAGATGTGTGCAAAATACTTTGAGACATCTGGAAACAAGACAAGGTTGTCTTATTGTTGATCTTGTTTTTGTGTGACTTTTCTTTTTCTCATTTTATGACAACTGAAATTCTCCATTATATTGCCAGACCACATTCTGCAAGCTTCTCTCTTTTGCTAATAAAAAATATTACGGCCACATCAGGAAGTCCTTAGGGAATGTGTTCTGTATCAGGAAAAGTAGTTAAGCTCTGGGGTCTTAAAGGAGCCTGGGAAAGTCTGAAACTATGGCGTTAGGATATATTATTTTAAAAACAGAACTGGATTTTGCAAGTTTTATGACTCTTGGCTTATTAAAGCCATTAACAGAGAACTAAAATTTCTGGACTGTTACTTTCATAATAGCAGTCAAGTGTCGCAGAATAACCTGACCAGTCCAGTAATGGATACAAGTAGAGAAGGCGAGAAGTAGCTGTGAGTAAAGCACCAACTATATTTGCTTAGTACCTGGGAATTTACTAGTTAGCTTTTGCCAACATTATCCGTCTCGCTAAAGCAACCCTACGAGGTAGGTGGGAAGCTGGATGCCGGCCTCTGACACTGAATAGCAGCTGGGGCTGGAAACTGGGTCTGTCACATATCACAACCGCTTCTCTCACTGTCGCCACCCTCCCATGCGCTCAGGAAGTGCTTTCGATTTTGTGGGTGTCATCTTCAGAAAAGCATGCTCACCTCTGTATATATACCTTATATTCAAGTGTTCCCGTCTGTGAAGGGTGACCTGGGCTACATGAACATGGACACCTCATGATCGGCAGCTTTCCCTGAATTCCTATGGTAAGGGGTTCAGCTTATCCTTCGTGTGGGTCAAGATGTACGATTTCATTGAACATTTGCAGTTATAGGCAAATACAAGTCCTGCCTTCAGGATCTGGCAGGGAAGAATGACATTAAACCTGTCACAAAAAGAAACCTCAGTGGGCCCAATCCGAAGGCTATTAAATTCAGAGGAACAGAGCTAAGAGGCGAGAAACCAGCCCGTTGTCTTGGCAAGATGGAAATGCTCCGAGGCCTTTCCAGTCAGCTTTCTGTTTACAGGCCTTGCGTGAGCGCGGGTGGCTGGGCCTCGTCTCCGGCCCTCCTCAGCCAGGACCCCTTAGAACCCTGCATCTCGGTAGAACCCTCATACCCAAATTAGCTGGATGCCAAGTCCACAAACCGGGTCTAAAGAGTACAGGAATTTCCTACTGGAGCTCTAAGAGGTGGCTTTCTCGGGGGACTCAGCACCATCCTCCCACCTGCCTCCCCCATCGGGCATTCCCTTTTAAGAAAAACACACACCGGGCTCGGGGAAGCTGACGTAAACATCCTGAGGAAATAACCACTGTTAAGTGGCTTCTAAACCCATTTCCCCAAGGAAATAATCAGCACCTCTTTCCCAAGACAGCTCCAGGTGAGCCCGCGTGGAAGGGAGCTGCCCCTCCGCGTTCTCAAAAGCAAAGGCGCTAGCGGAACTGTCTACCGCTTGCTCAGCGCGCGCCCATCCGCTGTCGCATCGAATCCTCCCAACGACCCACGAGGTGGAAAGGGCGGCGATTATCTTCTTCGTTTTACGGCTGAGAACCGAGGCCCACGGCGCTGGCTCCCTGCAGCCGGGGTCGCGCAGAGCACACCTAGGGGAGCCTCTGCCTTCGAGCCCGGGGCCGCCCCGCGGCACCACGAGGTCTCCCGAGTCAGCCCGAGCGCGGCGGCGGCCTGGCCTCGTCGTCCGGGGCAGGCGTCCCGCCGCGCGCACGTTGGCCGGCTCCGCGAACCGCCCGCCGCGGGACGCCGAGGGCGCGGCGAGCCGGGCCGTTCCCTGAACAAAGAACCGGAGAGCGCGCCGGGCCCGAAGGGGCGTTCGCCCCGGCGAGCCGCGGAGGGGGATGCGCGCGGAGAGGAGCAGCGCGCGCCGCCCCGACCCGCCCCTCCAAGCCTCCTTCCCCCCGGGAGATCCGGGAGAGGCCGCAGCTCGCCGTCCCCGCCCGCCGGTCCCATCGCCCCCTCTCCCCGCCGCCACCCCCACCCCGAGAAGCGCACAAAGAGCGGCCGGGCCACGGGCGCTCACCTCCCGTCGGGGCGGGGGCCGTGGGCGGGGCCGGCGCGCGCTCCCCAGCGCCCGCCTTAAAGGGCCCGCCCGCTCCTCGCGCGCACTGCGCATGCCCGGCCGCGGGGCGAGGCGGGGAGGGGCCGGGGTACAGCGGGCGCGCACGCCCTCGCCGCCTGCCGGCGCTGTGGCCTGCGTCCCCGCGGTGGCGGCGCGGCGCTCGTGCGCGTGTCGGAGCCCGCAGGGTCTCGGCCCGCGCGCCGGGCGTGTGCTGGACCCTGGTGCCATGCATTCCAGCGGTCGCCGGCGGCCGGGCGGGCCAGGCTCGCGCGGCAGCCAGCTTTTGGCTTTCCCATCCGCAGTTCCAGAGCCAGTTGGGCGAAGTGCTGCCCAAGGAGACAGAAATGCGGGAGCGGGCGCGCGCGCGCGCCGCGGGTGACAGTGTGGGCGGGCGTGTGCTTTTGTGTCTCGTGAGCTCCCGCGCAGGTGGACAACCCGCGCCGGGAGTCACTCTGCCCGTGCGCCCCGAGACCTGGAGTCCCATTGTCCGTGTGGGAGGGGTCGCAGTACAGACCCTTCTCCCAGGCGAAGCCTTGGCTCCAAGGGTGGTTTATTTGGAGCCACTAACGGGACTTTCTAAGGACCGCTCTTTTCGAGCCGGGCCCCAGGCATCAGAGTTGGGCGCGTTTTCTTTTCTCAGTCAGGCGAGGGAGGAGACTTGGGGACAGTGATTGTCCTCGGCTGATAGGTACATATAAACGTCCCGAGCCTGCCAGTCCCGCATTAGACAACAAAGAGAGGCGTTAGCGGCGGCGGGGGAGGGGCGCGGCCTGGAGGAGCACGGGGCGGGCTGCGGCGAGCGCGGGGGTGGGGGGTGGTGCTCTCTCTCCGCTCGCTCAACCCGCGGCCTCCGCCCGCCCCCGGCCTGGCGCGCGCCAATCGCCTCCCCCAGCGATAGTGTCAGTAGCATTGTAGTGTCAGCTCCCGCCGGTGACGTTGCGCCTCCCTCGTCCCCCTCCGGAGCCGTCTGGCTGCAGTGGCTCAGTCAAGAGGCGGGGAGGAGAGGAGGAAAAAGCGCTGAGTGAGGGCGGGCGGGCGGGAGTGGAGGAGCCGGGGAGGGGCTCCTTAAAGAAACGCTGCTGTCGCTTGCCTGCTCGCTTTTCGCTCGGTATTGTGGCCAGGCAGCCGGGCGCTCGGGGGGCACGCGCGGCCACCGGTCGAGCTCTGCCCCCACCCCACCCGCCACCAGATCTGGGGTGGGGACCCAGGCGGGGGCTCCTGCAGCCACTGCCCGGTGCATACCACACGGAGCGACCCAGTCCTCCCGGCACCGAGGAAGAAGCAACGGAGCCCTCTGCAGCCGGCCGGCCTCCCCGCCCCTGACCACCCGCTTCCCGGCTGCCTTTGTGGCCGCAGCTTCTCGCCGCCGAGCCGAGGGCCGGCGGGGGCGCGGCGCGCACGGCCGAGCGATGCCCAGCTCGCTGTTTGCAGACCTGGAGCGCAACGGCAGCGGCGGCGGAGGGGGAGGAGGCGGCGGGGGAGGAGGAGGAGGCGGCGGCGGCGGCGGCGGCGGCGGCGGCGGCGGAGGGGGAGAGACCCTGGATGACCAAAGGGCCCTGCAGCTCGCGCTTGACCAGCTGTCCCTGCTGGGGCTGGACGGTGACGAGGGCGCCTCTCTGTACGACAGCGAGCCGCGCAAGAAGAGCGTGAACATGACTGAGTGCGTGCCGGTGCCCAGTTCTGAGCATGTCGCCGAGATTGTGGGGCGGCAAGGTGAGTCGAGCGGGGATGGGGAGGTGGGGGTTGGTGTAGGGTCTTAGGCCACTGTCTCGCGGGGAGGGCGTGTGCAGTGTCGGGATACGCGGCGTGGGGTGCCTTGGGGAGACAGGAAGAGCCGCGCGATGGGCCGGCGCCCCAGACAAAGAAAGTGCAAGCAGGCTGCCTGTGGGAGCCGCGCTGCTGCCCCGGCGGAATGCACTTACTTCTGCTAAAATCACTGCCTTCTCCCCTAACGCCCCCCACCCAGCCCACCTCCGAAAAGACAATTTAAATGTAAGATGCTTGGGGGAGGGGGCCTTTGATCGGTCCTTTGGGAGGAGGGAGGAGGAGGAGTGAGCATCAGATGGGAGGAGGATTCTGGATTTCTGCAAAGCGGAATGGAGCCCAGAGGAGGAACAATGGGTCCCGGGACTCACACCCCACCCCCTACCCCCAGTCCACCAGCGCCGAGGCTTCGCGGCTGCAGCTGCCTTCCCCGAGCCTCTTTCCCCGTCTTCTGGGCTGACGGTGCGCCCAGCTGGATCCCAGCGGCATCTCCCCAGATGACTTTTCTGGGATTCTCGGGTTTGGTTCGGGACGACTGCAGTCGCTGGGGGAGGGCCAGGCAGCCAATGGGCTGTTCCTCGAGCGCCTCGCGGGTGGGTTCCGCTGCCCAGCCCGTGGTGCGGCCCGAGGTCAGTGAGGGAGACGCCCCCTTTCCTCCCATCTCTTGTCCTGCGGTCTCGATGTCCTGGACGCGGGCTGTCCCCGCTCTCCGCGGTTACCCCAGGATAATGGGCGTGTCTGTCTCTCTTTCCCACTCCCTCCTCCGCACGCTGGCTCCTAGGTTGTAAAATCAAAGCGCTGCGGGCGAAGACCAATACTTACATCAAGACCCCAGTTCGCGGGGAGGAGCCTGTCTTTGTTGTGACGGGCAGGAAGGAGGATGTGGCCATGGCTCGCAGGGAGATCATCTCCGCTGCCGAGCACTTCTCCATGATCCGCGCCTCGCGGAATAAGAACACGGCACTCAACGGCGCGGTGCCCGGGCCGCCCAACCTGCCCGGGCAGACCACCATCCAAGTGCGGGTGCCCTACCGCGTGGTGGGGCTCGTGGTGGGGCCCAAGGGCGCCACGATCAAGCGCATCCAGCAGCAGACTCACACGTACATCGTGACGCCCAGCCGGGACAAGGAGCCGGTGTTCGAAGTGACCGGCATGCCGGAGAACGTGGACCGCGCTCGAGAGGAGATTGAGGCGCACATTGCTCTGCGTACCGGCGGCATCATTGAGCTCACAGACGAGAACGACTTCCACGCCAACGGCACCGATGTGGGCTTTGATCTGCATCACGGGTCCGGCGGGTCCGGCCCAGGCAGCCTCTGGAGCAAGCCCACCCCCAGCATCACGCCCACCCCAGGGCGCAAGCCCTTCTCCAGCTACCGCAACGACAGCTCCAGCTCGCTTGGCAGCGCTTCTACAGACTCCTACTTCGGCGGCGGGACCAGCGGCAGCGCAGCCGCCACCCCGCGCCTGGCGGACTACAGCCCCCCCAGCCCCGCCCTGAGCTTTGCGCACAACGGAAACAACAACAACAACGGCAACGGGTACACCTACGCAGCGGGGGAGGCCTCAGTGCCGTCCCCCGACGGCTGCCCTGAGCTGCAGCCCACTTTTGACCCGGCTCCCGCTCCCCCACCTGGGGCACCACTTCTCTGGGCCCAGTTTGAGAGGTCCCCGGGAGGCGGACCTGCAGCTCCCGTATCTTCTTCCTGCTCTTCCTCCGCATCTTCGTCAGCTTCGTCCTCCTCCGTGGTCTTTCCCGGGGCTGGAGCCAGTGCGCCCTCCAACGCCAACCTGGGGCTGTTGGTGCACCGCCGGCTGCACCCTGGCACCAGCTGCCCGCGCCTGTCCCCGCCCTTGCACATGGCCCCGGGGCCGGGAGAGCACCACCTGGCTCGCCGGGTGCGCAGCGACCCAGGCGGAGGCGGCCTGGCCTATGCAGCCTATGCCAACGGGCTGGGGGCGCAGCTGCCTGGCTTGCAGCCGTCGGACACGTCGGGCTCCTCGTCTTCGTCCAGCTCCTCCTCCAGCTCTTCATCTTCTTCCTCTGGGCTGCGGCGTAAAGGCAGCCGCGACTGCTCCGTGTGCTTCGAGAGCGAAGTGATCGCCGCGCTGGTGCCCTGTGGCCACAACCTCTTCTGCATGGAGTGCGCCAACCGCATCTGTGAGAAGAGCGAGCCCGAGTGCCCGGTCTGCCACACCGCGGTCACTCAGGCCATCCGCATCTTTTCTTGAAGGAGGCGGGCGCTAGTGCGCACCGTGCTGGGGGAAGGGGGAATCCCTCCCCATCCTCGTTCCCCAGCGCTCGCCTGCCTCCCTGGTGCCCCACCTTCTCCCCGCCATACCAACACTCTGAGATCCGAGAGGAGCTTGGAAAGCTGTAGTATCCGCTCATTTTTTCAAATTTAATTTTTGAACAAAGGAACTTGCCAGGATATCTGCATCAAGAGTACTGTAGCCTGGGAAACCTCTGAACACCTGAAATGCATGCTTTATAAATAATAGGAACGGCGACATTCTAGTAATGATAGTTTTTACACTGTACTTAATAGGAAGCTTCCAAAAAAGAAAAAAAAAAAAACCCACAAGTTTTCCATTTTCTTAAAGTAGGAAAAAATGAACAGTAATTACGATGATGAAGATGATCATAGTGCTATGGGATGTGTGGACTGTTAGTGTGTTCCGCTTTGTGGGTGGATTCCTATGATACCTGTTCTAGAACACAGTGAATCTTTTTTGAATGTTCGTGGAAGGGCCAGGAGTTCCTGTGAAACCAGGATACTGCAGCTTTATTAAAGTTAAAAAAGAAACTGTAACATATCTCTTATATATTAAAAACGTTTAAAAGTTTTAAAGAGAAATTGCATTAATACAGATTGAAGTATTTTATTCTTTTTTGACTTGAAAAATTATATTTCATATTGCAAAGATGTTTACAAGTATTTTAATTTAAGTTCAGTGAACTTTTTTGTAGCTGGGTTAAATCTTTTTATTTTAGTATGGCCTTATGGCAAAGAACACTGTATTATTTTAATAATCACACAATTGTGACGGAATTACAAACCATAAAAGGTGTAATGTTTTGAACAGTATTCTGTTGGGATGGAGATTTTATAGGTTCAGACAAATCTTTAGATCCGCTTCACCCAGCATATTTTCTATTCAGTGATATAAAGCATATTTTATTCTATATTATTATGAAAACGGAAATGTATAAACATGTCAAAAAGAACTGTTGATGCTTTCTAACATTTGTATAAATAGAATTCAGTGCAAGTTACACAAATTCTGTTGCACCACTATAGTTTTAGTATTTCTATTTTAATACGTTTGTTCAACACTTGTTTATGTATATGTAGGTGACGTTACTTGAGCTTAAATGTGCTTTACTGAGCAAAGTTTAAAAAACAAAGTATATTTTATTTTATGATAAAGGGCCTTTAACCTCATGGTCAAATACTAATATTATATTTGCTGAGACAAGATTTGAAATTGTATCAAGAGTTTTATTTTTCTGACATTTAAAGTTCTACATAATAAAGGTAAAACTTAAGTAATGGTGCTACTTCATTTTTTAAGTATTTCTATATAAATAAAATATTGAAGAAAATCTATCTTGTGTGGCGACTTTTTTTTTTTTTTTTTTAAGCCTCTTGTAATCTTAACAGAAGGGATCACTTTTAATTGATGAGTTGAAGTAATGGAATTCCCAGGCACATTATTTATGCTATGAATAGAAGGGATTTTCAAAACAGACCAGGGTTGTTTGGTTGGATGGGTGGTCATCGGTAACAGTATTTTTTCAAAAAATTGCAGGTATTTACTGAATCAGGGCCTCCTTCAGACATACAAGGCACAGTGCCTAAGGCCTGTGATACTTTTAGGGGTTCAGGAAAGTTTAATTTCTTTTAAAATTAGAAAAAAAAAAGGAATAAAAGTATTCAAAAACTTTTTAATTTTCAATCCCCCAAAACATTTCATTTTGTCTAAAACAAGAAAACAAAATGTTGAAGTATTTAAAGTTCTATAAAAATATTAATATGAATATTATTATTGAGGAAGGCAGAAAGGGCTGGGGAACCCAGCATGGGCCCCTGAGACGACAGGAGGTCTAAGGCCCTGTGCCTGCTCTGGGGCAGGGAGAAGTGGATTTCAGCTCTGTTGCGAGTTTCCACTGAAGGTCACTCCCTTGGGGAAGCCACAGAAGGAAGAAGGGATGACCGTTTCTGCTTGCAGGACCTTGCAGGATTTGAGCACTGGTCTTAATAGGCTTCTGCTTGTAGGGCAGACTAATTGGTGTTGACAGGCTGTGGGTGTTAAGTGTTTGTTGTTGTTTGAGGGAAGTTTTTGTTTGCTTTTGGCAGGCTCCACCTGCTCCCTGGCTGTGGGGCTTTGCCAAGGGGAGGAGCCATGTGCTTTCACTTAACCTGAACTCTGTCTTCTAGAGAGGATTTAGGAATGTCCAGACCATGCCACTGAATTCCCAGCAGACTTGTGGCTGAGTGGCCCCTGGAGAACAGTATCTGATGAGTATGGCAGGCATTTATTTTCATCTCAGCAGGTGAATCGGAAGAGTAGACTAGTATAAATCGATCTTGGTGGTCCCTCTTTTGCTTTGGGGTTAATTTTTACCTGTTTGATAATTGAGTCACTGCCTACATAGTTCCTGGTTCAGCTGGTTTGCAGGATGCTGTGTGAAGGCAGTAGACAGGCCTTTGGGGTGGGAGGAGTAAAAGGAGTGACTGCTTGGAAAATTTCTGGCATCATCTTCAGCTCTGGAAAGTTCCCAAACAGTGTTTACCCACTTTGCTTCTCTCTCAACGACTGGAGGTTAGCTGAGGCCTGGCAAGGGGAGATGTCACCATGTCCAAGTCCCCCTTTGCTTCAGCTGTCTGGAAATGCCTGCAACAGAACCAAGATTCTTTTGCATGTAACGTTGTTTAGTCATGTAACTGCTTTTCTGCTTTAGCAGAATAATTACAGACAATGCAAGGGAAAACCAGAAAGCCTTGATTAGTTGTTATCTAATGGGCCTTTATTCATGTAAGATCCTTTTGTGGTCCACGTGCCACTTTGGGAAATGAAAAAAGATCAGATTTTAAGGCTGCCAACAGACCTTAGGATGGCCTGTATTTTTTTTTTTTTTCTTTATAGTGAGAGATTCCTTGTTGACATAAAATTTGGGGATATATTATTAACAAAATCTGGGGATACATTATTAACAAAATTGAGAGGAGAGCCCGCTCTCTAACGTGGGTCTCCCCTGCTAAGCCCAGGTCCCTCTTACCAGCAGGGGATGTGGGCACATGCTAATATTAGATGGGAGTCGCTTTTGGTTTGAGTTACATTTTTTTGTCCCATCCTCCAGCTTCCCCAGGTGACTTCTGTGGACATGATCCCTGGCTGTGGAGTTGACCGTCCTCTGGCTGGAAAGATGAGAGGTGCTACATTCACGTCCTCCAACTTCCCAGCAGCTTCCTTTACTTCTCCACCCCTCTGAAATCTGTCTTTCTGCAGCAACAAAATACCAGCTAACAGACGTCTTTCCCCCTCATTACCGTTCCATGTTTTATTTCTTTAGGTAGAATAGTGGCGCTCAAAGGAGGTGGGGGAGGGGATGATTTTGTACCCCTACCTTTCGGCAATCTCTGAAGACATTTTTGCTTATTATAAACATGGGTAATTGTACTGACATTTAGTGGGCAGAGGCTGGGGATGCTGCTAAACGTCCTACATTGCACAGGACAGCTCCTACACAAGGAATTATCCAGCGCAGGGGTGAGAAAACCTGATGTAGACGAAGCAAACATATCTTCTGTGCGGTTCATTCATTGCCTTGAAATCGGTGGACTTCTTCCAGCATTTACATGCCTAAAGGCGTTCTAGGATTACCCACGACCCAGTGTGGCTCTACTTATATCAGGAACGTTGTGGGCAAGGTTAAGGCTGATGTCTGAGCATAGGAGGTCACAACAAAGAGACTCTTTTTAATTCACCAGAGTGGTAGATTGTACCCAATGAATGATAATAATGCTTACATGGAATGTTCCAAGCACTCTCATTTCCATTTTCTCCTGTGAGCCTTTCTGCAGCCATGAGGGAGGCAGCCCTGAGATTTTACTGTGCCTATTTGCAGTCAAACATATATTACTCAAAACACAGTCCCAGCCCCCTTACCCAGACTCAAACCTCTGTTTCCTAGTCTAGCCGGCCTCTTTCCGTTTTGCTCGGTTCCCTGTAACTATGAGATAAAATTTATGGAGAAATTTCCAAATGGGTCTGTGCTAGCATCTCTTTCCCTTTCCCTATTTCATGGGTATTCCTTATACGACCAAAATGGGCTCTTGGGAAAAGTTCTGATATCTCCAGTGAATTTCAGTCAGTAGTGAAGCAGAGCTCTTATCTCTTAAGTCTTATCTTTCTAAGAAATATGAACAAATTTGTCTTCTTTCAAGGCGGTTTTGAGCCTGCTGGCCAATGCAACGGCTGGGAGTAATAGTCCAGAAGCTTTGTTGGGGCAAGGTAACTTGGGAAGGGAGGGAATTTGCACTGGGCACACTCACTTTTTTTCGCCTTAGAAGAGTAATTCCCTGCCTGGCTAGGGAACAAGGGCCCTTCCGACACTGAACACTGCCTCCCTTTCAGCTTCCTCCCTTCCCTCACCTACTCAAACCTGACCTTGCCCCAGAGCATGCTTAAAGTGCTAAAGGGTCTCTTCCCCCACTGTTAAGACCAACCTGCTTTCCAGGAAGGTAGAGGGGAAGAGTTAAGCATCACTTACACTGGGTCAAGGAAGATCAGTGATGATTTCTAGTTTACTGAGTTTGCTCAATCTGACCCAGTCACACTACATTGGTCCAACCCAATGGGGTAGGTCTGAGTAAACCCATTTCAAGATAAGCAAACCTAGGTAGAGAGAAGTTAAATTACTTACCTATGGCCACACAGTCAGTAAGTGTTGGACTTAGGACTCCAGCCTTGGGTCTACCTAAATCCAATGCTTCTATCTTTACCACCACAGAAAACATGGCTTTTACAGGAGGTATTTTCAGGAAGAGCAAGCACCCGTTTGTCACAAAAGAGTCAAGCACGGGAATGAGGTTCCTTTTAGTGATAAGTGAAACTGACTTGAAAAAGGAGCCAGGCCAAGTTGCTGTGATGCTGCCAGGCCACATGAGGAGAACCATGAACATGAATAGCACCTTATGGGCACAGGGCATTTCTGTGACATTAATTCTAAATAAAGCCTCGACTCTTTGGTGAACAATCAAACATTATTCTGTAATGTATTCTTTTTAGGTGGACAAAGAAAAATTACCATTGGACGAGAAGAAAATGAATACAGAATTCTTTCTTTTTTTTTAAAAAAAAAGCTCCATAAAAACATGACATCTGCCAATTTAGACAGTGACTAAACGATGCCAGAACCCTGACTTAAAAGTGAAATGTAGTCAATTGCTGGTCTCCTGAATGCCAAGGTCTTTGACTGATTTTTTTTTTCTTTTATTGACTTCATTTTTCAGGAAAAATGTTAGAATTATAGGACCAGGGAATGTTCTAAAATGGCATTATGGGTGCTACCCACCCCGTGAGTCTTTAGTGCTGGTTCCAGCTGTAGCACATGTTTTTATGGAAGGTGTGGGTGAAACAAATGACAAATTTGTGCCTCAGTTTACTCATCTGTGCAAAGTGAGGTGGTGTCCTTGCTTCTGGAGTTATCAGACACGTTCAGCCCCCTTTGGGCTTACCTGGCCCCGGCACCCCTTCCACAATGACGTCTTCCAGGCTCTTTCACGATTGCTTTCCTGTCTTTTCTCCCCCTAGGCTGAGAATGTATTGAGAGGAGGGGT